AATTTCTTTTGACATTTCGTTACGTAAGAGTGTATTAAAAGATTCAAATAGTTTGTCATTCTTCATGTCTCTCAAATATTTATATTTGTATGCTCAATCAACAAGATGACTCTCTTTTTCTTTCTTACTCTTTTCGTTGATTAAACTACCTACACTATATACCTTCTTCATTGACGTCACATTTATATATTAGTAAAAATCGCTCACGTGAATCGGGTAAAGTTTATTTAGAAAGTGTACAGTCGTATGTATATAGCTGTTGTGTTTTTGTCTGTATATTCATTCAATTTACTTTTAAGAAGTATGTCGTCACATAAACCAAAACCAAATCTTGAAGATCCCATTGGTTATGAACCAGGACAAATTCATTTCGGAAAAGATCAGGTATTGTCGAATGAAAAAAAACGTGCACCACAAGCAGGTGAAAAAGGTGAAGAAGATAGTCATGTCTGTGGTCAAGCGTCTCGAGAGATTTTTGGTGGCACATCCAGCACAAGAATTCTTGGTGAGCCGATAAGCAGACAATTAGATGCTGCAAAGCCAATCGATATAACCAACAAAAAGATATAATTATTCGGGCTATATAAAAAATAATAATCGCACACTCTACTTTTTTTGTAGTCTATTGTCATCTTATGTACATAAAGGTTTAATTTGTGGTTTGTATGTTCTTTTAATACTTATTTTGTCATTGAATAATCATGCTGTTATTACATAAGCATTCTCAACTTGATGAAACTGTTTCATACGTTAAATAGGAAAATGAATCGATAGTAGATGATATTGGCCAAAAATCGAAGTAAGAAATATGGAAAAAATTCTATTGATTTAAATGTTTGGCTAATCCCTTATAAATGATTTTCTTAAAACTTCACAGACGTTTGATAATCAAGGGATTAGTCGAATCATGTTTAACATTTCTTTTTATTTAAAAGTAGCTTCTATTCCCCCTCTTCCCATCCTCATCGATATCTGATCGTTCAGTACCGCGAAAGACACTGTCCTTGTAAAATAATCAAATACTTCATTTCAATGTGATTGTGCTATTTTTGAATGGATATTACACGTGATAAAACGTAATTTTGTTGATTTTTTTTTGATAATCTGTACTTCGACAGATGGATCAGAATTATAAATGACTAATTTATGTATAAACTTCAAAAGAGCAAGGCTACTCTAAGATTTCTAAAGCTAAAGTGAGTATACACTCGGTTTTCCCTATCAATTTGCAGAGGACACTTTGAAGTATATATTTTGATACTTTTTTCGGGTACCGGAGTACTGTAGTTTTTCAGAAAATAATTTTTTAAGTTTACTCTCGGTTTTTTGCTCCATTTTTAAAAGTTTAATAAAACTTTCGGATTTCAATGTATAACGTCGGTTTTGATGTCAATCGATAGAGGACATCAAGATGTATCTACAAAAATTTCGATAAAGCTTTGACTGAATTAGTCCGCTTTGACCTGCCCGATGGCATTTTGGAGCAAGAAGTATTATTAAAAACACCTAGACCATTTGTTCCTGATAATTTTAATTGTTTGTACTGATGTTTCGTGATAAAGAAAGGTTTGTTCTTCTGCCAGTCGCGTTAGCCGTAGCGTCACGAGAGATAAAACGCTGGATTAAGGGTTGAATTGATGATAGACGAGGCAGTTGGGGCAAAATTTGTGGAACTGGCACGTTATGTAAAGGTGTTAACGTGGGCGCTTTTAAACCAGTATTATTTAATTGTCGATAAAATCCGGGAGTATATTGTAGACGACGTCGTTGCATATTCACTAAATAAATATCAAAACAAGTAGTATCATAGATTCTCAAACATGCGTGAAAATGAAATTTACTCACGTTCTGTTGTTCTTGAAAATGGAAATGGATAAGAGATGATAAACGATGAACGATATATGATCGGTAATAATACCGAATAAGTGACGATTTATTTCATTGTGAATTGCATTTAGTGGTTTATCAGAGTATAAAAATTTTCTGTCTTAATCGTCTCAGATTTGCGGACTAGTTTATACAACTGACCATCTTACTGTATCGATAAACTAATTAAAAAAATGTAGTGGGATGACATATCACTGCTTTCAGTTTCAAATTGTTTTCGCACACTATCAAAATTTCATGGGTTTTTTCTAGAAAAAGGAAATTTTTGAAACTTCATCCAGGTTTTTTTTTAGTTACATTTAGTGTAGCTAATATTTTATGAAAATATACTTTATCTTCGTAGTATTTTATTTTACTTATTTATAATTAAGACGTTTCGATCGCCATGTGCAATCTTCTTCAGTAAAACATAAAATTAATAAAATACAATTAAAAATATAAAATGTATATATACAACAATTCCAGTGTGCACAGTTGATGTCAAAACTGCAATGTGACAAATTCTTTTTCTTTTCGTATATTTATACTTATACTTTAACTTTATCTCTTTTCCTTTTTCACTGGACTAAACTAGGACGACGAAAGGGTAAAAGAAATTTGGCTGTTTTATTTTATTTTAGTGACTAAGATTAAATTATCCGAGGTAAATGTATAACGTCGAAAATGACATTATATTAAATACATAACATAAAAGTACACCTTAAGTAAGATGATTGATGAAAAGTGCATCAATAGACCAAACCTATATACGGAGAATCTCTCAGGTTCAAAATTCACAAAATTCACTCCTTATAGTTATGCCTATTCTGTTTCCTAAATTCATATCTGGCATTTAGGTTTCGTTGTGTGGTATCTGTACTCGAGTTGCTAATATCCTTAGTTACATTTACCGGAAAAAACGGTTCTCCTGATCTTGGTTCAATCCACTGTTTAATAGTGGATTTCCATTGTGGACTAATTTGTTTGCATCAATTATAACCTAAATTTGCTATGGTATACACTGTCTCTAGTGTTTTTCTTCTATTCCAGTTCTTTTCTTTATCAAAAATCATACTATTTTCGAAATCTGTGAAACACGCGGTACCATTTTCGTGATGCTGTGCCAATTCTGAGCCCTTCGCATCTCTTTGTTGCACTTTTTTAAAATGTTCTTTTATCCTTCGTTTAAAACTGCATGTCTCACCCACATACATGTCAGCGCACATACAGGGTATACCATATACTACATCCTCTCCTCGTTTGTCTAAAACATTCTCATCTTGTACTATATTCTGTGCAATTTTTCTTGCTTTATTTAACACTGAACCAATATTACGGTTAAGCGTTGTATAGATTCTAATATTGAATTTAGCTAGTTGTGCTCGCAATTTTTCAGTTAATAAATATCTATGAGGAATTACAATTATACTGTCTCTGGTGTTTTTGTCCTCTTCTTTGTTTTGAAATTTATTTTCCTGCATCTTAATATTATGAAAAATTTTACTAACTATTCTCTTTGGAAAACTACTGTTTTCTAACAGCTGTTTAAGAAGGATTAGATCGGTTTTGTTATATTTGTAATGATTACATATATTTATTCTATTGACCATATTCATCACTATGTTTTGTTTCATGGCGTAACTATGATTAGAATTATAGTCTAATAAACGTGCACTCGCCGTTTCTTTCCTAAACCAATTTGTTTCGATCACTTCTTTCTCTCTGTTAATGTGAATGCACACATCTAGAAATGTAATAATATTATTTTTCTCAAACTCAAACGTAAATTGCAACTCTTTAAAACTATTCAAATACTCCGTCAACTCTTTTATTGTATCTCTGTTCATGTTTGATATTAATAAAATATCATCCACGTATCGTGCTAATCCAACATATGGAAATTTTTTGTAATTCCATTTTTCTAGTAGAAATTCACTAAGTGCAACATCGGCCAAAATTCTCCAAAACTCAACATTCCAAAAACTCAAACTAGTTTTAGATTTCCATGATTCATCGCCTTCTAACAAGCGACTTAACGTGTGGAGAACTTTGTTTCGGTCTACCGTTGTGAATAAGTCAATCACATCTAAACTAGCTAAACTGTGTACTTTTTTGATTTTTAATTTATATAGTTTTTCAATTAAATCTTTAGTATTTTTGATGGATCTTCTATTGTCTGCTATATCTTTTAAGATATTTGTGATGTATTTTGCTAGTGTTGAACCCATACTGTTCCTCATTGCTACAATTAACTTCATGCTCTTCTCTACTTTATGCACTTTCAATTGTCCACGGACAATTGGTATATTCTTATCTACTAGTAACGTTTCCATCATGTCTTCGTCGATTTCTCCTTTCCCTACTAACTCCGATAGTAGTATTTGTAGTTTTTTATGGATATATTTCGACGGGTCTTCATTTAGCTGTGTGTATGAGTCTGTGTCTAGCTTTTCCTGAATTTTATCAATACAATCAACTACGTCCATCACAACTACTTTTTCTCCTTTGTCTGCTGGTATAACGATGATATTTTTATCTGTTTTTAACTTTTTCAGCGCTTTTCGTTGATTCCTAGAGAGATTATCATATTTAGTTTTGTCAGATTGGAGGTAGTGTGATAACACTCTTTTTATCCCACTAACAATTTCTTCCTTTTCTCCTAAACTCTTCCGTCGTATACCTGCTTCTACTCCAGCTATCACTTTTGATACCAATTTAGTGGTATTCAGGGGTTGTGTGGG